TCTCTCTACATCCTTAGTTCTCTCACATCCTTAGTCCTCTCACATCCTTAGTCCTCTCACATCCTTAGTCCTCTCACATCCTTAGTCCTCTCACATCCTTAGTTCTCTCACATCCTTAGTCCTCTCACATCCTTAGTCCTCTCACATCCCGAGTCCTCTCACATCCCGAGTTCTCTTCATCCTGAGTCCTCTCACATTCCGAGTCCTCTCACATCCTTAGTCCTCTCACATCCTTAGTCCTCTCACATCCCGAGTCCTCTCACATCCTGAGTCCTCTCACATCCTTAGTCCTCTCACATCCCGAGTCCTCTCACATCCTTAGTCCTCTCACATCCTTAGTCCTCTCACATCCTTAGTCCTCTCACATCCTTAGTCCTCTCACATCCTTAGTCCTCTCACATCCTTAGTCCTCTCACATCCCGAGTCCTCTCACATCCTTAGTCCTCTCACATCCTTAGTCCTCTCACATCCCGAGTCCTCTCACATCCTTAGTCCTCTCACATCCTTAGTCTTCTCACATCCTTAGTCCTCTCACATCCTTAGTCCTCTCACATCCCGAGTCCTCTCACATCCCGAGTCCTCTCACATCCTTAGTCCTCTCACATCCTTAGTCCTCTCACATCCCGAGTCCTCTCACATCCTTAGTCCTCTCACATCCCGAGTCCTCTCACATCCCGAGTCCTCTCACATCCCGAGTCCTCTCACATCCTTAGTCCTCTTCATCCTGAGTCCTCTCACATCCTTAGTTCTCTCACATCCCGAGTCCTCTCACATCCCGAGTCCTCTCACATCCCGAGTCCTCTCACATCCTTAGTCCTCTCACATCCCGAGTCCTCTCACATCCCGAGTCCTCTCACATCCCGAGTCCTCTCACATCCTTAGTCCTCTCACATCCTTAGTCCTCTTCATCCCGAGTCCTCTCACATCCTTAGTCCTGTCACATCCTTAGTCCTCTTCATCCCGAGTCCTCTCACATCCTTAGTCCTCTTCATCCCAAGTCCTCTCACATCCTGAGCCTGTCTGCAGACTCACCTCCTGAAACTAAAAGCATCACCCCTGAACAACTGCAGCTCGGTGTTAGCTACTGATTGACGGAGCAATGCTTTTCTCCGCCTTGCTTCTTGATCTTTTTAATCTAATCACAGACTCCTGATGATTGTGCAATGAAAGAAATCAATTTTATCTTGATTTGTTTTATAACTTAAAATGTAAAAGACCACGGATGAAAGCAGCATCATCAATGACCCAATGGTGGTGCTCAGTTCTTTAAAGTCAAGAATAACATTTCAATTGAAAAACTGGAATTCCTGTGGACCCGCGGGGGATGTATTGTTATTATAGATAATAGAGTTAACCACATTCCTATTATGTTTTATCTTTTACGTGATGTCGTTTTTACCTCTATGCACCTTCTTTATGCAAAAGAAACTCCGAAGACAAACGTGTTTATGATTCTGTAAACTTTTTACTGCTGTCCTTTGTTTGCATTGTTATTTTCTTATCATGAAATCTAAATGTCCGTCTCTTTCAACGACCATGAGACATTTTTCTTGATTTACCATATTATCACATTTGTTAAGAACAGTATTGTATGATATGTTATGTTCTTGTGTCTAATCATTAAGGTTCGCTGTATTTCACAGGATCCCGTTGCCACATCCGCCTCCACTAATCACGCCTGAACTAGTGGTTATTGTGCAAAGCCAATTTAAGGGTGCTGCAGAATTACAGATGAATTAAATATGAATAATTATGGCTTGTAATAAAAAGGAGTATGATTCTTGCTGGGATGTGACCTTGGTGTTTTCTTACTTAAATGTGTTTTAATGCTTTATTTCAACATCTTCCAGGCAAATGTTTAACTTCAAGGTCCATTGATGTTTTTTGACTTTGTATACAAGTTCATTCAAATAATCGACGATAAAAAAAGACTTAATGTATTTAAAAGTGTACCATCACGAGTAGGTTATTTCAGGAGAACAACATAAGAAACTGTACAATTAGAGCAGATTACAAATAGTGCCCGGATGTTTCTTAGTGAGGGATTACGCCTTAGAACAAGGGAAATATCTGAGAGCATTCTGGTGTGACAACGACATGGTGTAGTTTTGAAAATATCCCGAATAATGACAGGATAGCATGTCGAAATACTTTGAAAAATCATCGTATAGTTTGTCGAAACATTTTAGAAAAAAAACAACTGTGTTGTCTGTGATATTAGAAAAAAACAACTGTGTTCCTTGAAACATCAACTCCAGAAGAGGCCAGGTCAGCAACAATCATCTTGACAGATGTCCGGGGATTCTTGCTGACATCTCTGACTATTTTCCTCTCCAGAGTTCTTGAAATATTGCGCTTTCGACCCCGCCTAGGTTTGTTTCTTACAGACTTTGTCTCCTTGTACTTCGCAATGATGCAACGTACAGCAGTTCTCGACACTGTGAAGCGCTTGGAAATAGCAGCATAGCCTTCCCCCTTATCATGAGCCACAGATTTCCTTTGTCTTTGGCATGGTGAGTAGGAGTAGTAGTATAGTCCATCTCAATAAGGTATTCAAGTGCCTGTTTCTTGGAGTCCTTTTATGCTGATTGATTGATTAGGTGGTTTTGAAAGCAAAAATTCACATGGGGGCTAATATTTTCACCAACCCATTTTTCATTATATTTGATGTAAAGCAAGTCTAAAAACTTATTTTATTTTCCAAAATGTACCAAAAGCTACTAAATAGCACTGGTGAATGTTTGATTATATCAAATTTGATCAATGCTGGAAACATTTTAGAATTTTAGGAAAATGTTCCATAATCCCTGGGGGGCTAATAATTTAGGCCTCAACTGTATATTATGTTGAAAATATCAGGAAAAACAACATGGTATTGCATGTCGGAAAACTGAAAAACTTACATCATGGCATAGTCTGTCTAAATATGACCAAAGTCAAAGTTTAGAATTTCGAAAAACACAATGAAAAAAAAAAATATATATAGTAAAAAAAATAGTACAAAGCGAGTATAAAAAAAGTAGGAACATTCATGAAAAATCAAAGAATTATGCAAAAGCCTTTTCCTTCAAAACAAGTGTTGTATTCTGATCGGCAGCAGATCAATAATGTGTAATGTGATTATGGTAGCACTTTATTCTTTGACGGGGAAGTTATTGAATATTTGTATTGTTATATATTTTCGGTGTTGCACTTTGTAGACGGTCCCTGCGGAGTCTCTCTCCTCCGGATGCAGACAGGGAGCAATGTAAGTTCTCCAACGTTTTGGTTTTTTAAATGTTATTGATCCTTCCTTTCGAAAACATCAATATCTTTTTCTAATTTTACCGAATTACTTGCATGATGGCATCACGAGCGTCACCATTAAAAAAGGTGGGCACAGCAACACATGAGGGTTAATTGGGTTTGCTGTGAGGAGGGAGGAGCCGGAGCTGCGCTGAGGCTCAGAGGATTTACCCAACATGGGAGTGAAGTTAAATCCGAAACCAACATACTTTACATGTCACAGCACATTGTGAGAACTGTCCGGGTTTCATTTTGATCAAAGATTATTTCTAAAGGTGTAATAATCTTGAAATGACCTGAGCAAAGAGCCATTCTCACTGCGCTTTTACTAAAGTCAAGACAAGGAGCGAACCTGGCAGAGTGCTCCCCTGAAGAAGACAGAGTCTAACCTGCACAGGTAAGATCTTCACAACACTCACAGCTGCATGAAACGGATAGTATTTAAGAAACTTTAACATTATTAAAAGAATAACAAACGCGCATGTTCAGATATTATAGCAAATATATAGATATTATAACCAACAAGCAGAAAAACCGTACAGAAACATAGTATAACAGGAGCATTACACATGTCATATTGTTTTTAAAAAAGTGTAACCATATTGTACCTCTAATTTTAAACCCATTTTAAGAGTTTTATTTTAAAGAGTTTTTTTGGTAGTACAAGTTGCTTTTGTTGAAACTGGCAAGTTGTTTTTATGTGATGACAACTGAAAAAGATGTGCTGTGATAACCATTCACAGAGAGAGGTGTTGCCTTATTTGGTGCAGTTGTTGGAAGCATTTTGATATTTGGAATAGAGACAGAATCTACTGGCATTATTTCACTGAACAGGATATAGGAAACAAGGGCATACTCAAAGAGATAAGATCAATTAGGACAAGAAAAGGCCTTACAAACCTGATGCTGCTTCTGTGAAATTGTTAGAATTGATTTGGGTTACCATGTTGACTTCCTCGATTCATCTTCCATCAATTTTGAAGAATAAACAAAAATAAACCATCCTTATATTAATGTTTTATAACTGTTGTCGCCCCACACTGTTGGGTTTTGTTTAGGATGCATGTCCTGCCGCTGAATCAATACTTCATGTCCTTTGGGAACAATTCGTTTTTGACAATAGATTGTTTGTACAGCAGATTGCCTTCTCAAATCCCTGTGGATATCTGTGTTGTGATCGATGAAACAGAGATGCTCTCTATTAGTCTAATGAACTGCCACCAAAGTGTCCGGCACTGATTCATTAAAGCTGTTGCACAATGCAGCCAATACAATGTCCGCATCCCATAGCCTCACAGGTGGCTGTTGTAATGAAACGATAATAAAAAAGATAAATCAAATATGTCAATCTATTTGGATGCTAAGAATACAAATTCACTAGTCAGAAATGTTGAAGAATAAAAGTAACATATTAACTGTTAATCAAAATCCTGCAACCTTAATTGACCATAATGTGACATTTTGGGTTAACTGGCAATAATTGGTTATCTGCCAATCCATAAAAAAAATCCATATTGTGAATCCCTAACTCCCCTGTGATGGATTACACTGGTACAAATCCTGCATGCTGACCAGCCTGTAAATAGCACCTTTAGTACAATGAATGGAAACTCAATTTCAACCATTTGCTTTATTAACCATGAACATGAAGAAAGTCAATCAGTGTCATTACTATGTATACCCATGTCTTCTAACCTTAACCTTTCACTTGGACCAGCAAATGTTAAAATGTAACACAACTTTAGTGGGAATCTATGAATTATTGATGTGAGGATGCCATACTTGATCTGAAACTTTCCACACAAGTGCTTAAACCCGAAAAAACTGATATTTTCTTGAAATAATATTGGACAGATTAAAGTTTCTCTGCTGCTAAATATAAAAATAATCGTTGAGGAAATTCTCTGGCACGAGCAAGCGAGCCGTTGCTCTTGCACCTGAGGCTTAAAAAGGCACACGTCGTCTTATGATCATCAGTCCGTGCCCATCGTTCCCCCTGAGAGGCACGTATTGATTGTGACAGGAATGCAAAGCAGAGAGGCCAGGTTCTTGAAAACAGCCTAAATCTGATGTGTCTAGTTAATGATCCACCGAACAACGGCTGCTCAGGATGAAGACAGGGCTCAGAGTTTGAAACACGGTTCCATTTGGTTGGTTGTTTGAAGACGGATAAAGACGAACCACTGAAAAATTGTTTATTTACTTTAAACAAAAAAAATTACTTTCAGATCTCTTGCATAAAAGAGCATGACTCACAATGGAAGAAACGGATGTTGGATTAACCAGAATAAACAGGACTAGACTGAATGACTTGTGCAGGAAGTCACGATACAAATAGTTTGAATACATTGTCTACTATACTGAGCACGACCAAAACACAGCACTCTGTTTTATTATGTAAACAGTCCCTCTAAGTGTTTGAGGTGAGTCAGAGGAAGCTTTTATATTTATGACCACGTGTACTCTCATCTTCATCTGGCTCGACCGAGATGAGGGTATTTGTCACCGTAGATCTGTTTCAGTGCAGTACATACAATTATATTGGTTCAAAATGTCATTAGTCAAAAATATCCACGGTAGCATCATCATAAAACAGTACATGATGACACAGTACTGAAACAGCCCTTTTAAGAGTTTTTAATGATCTGCACCTAGCCGCCGACTCAGGTAGCCCAGCTGTCCTGGTGCTGTTAGACCTGACAGCTGCCTTTGACAATGTGGACCATAGCATCCTGTTGTCACGGCTTGAACAGTCCGCAGGCATCACAGGCTCTGCCCTTGCATGGTTCAGGTCCTACCTGACAGACCGTAGCTTCTCAGTGCAGCTAGGTGCCTTCTCCTCTGCTAAAGCCCCTCTTACCTGTGGGGTTCCCCAAGGCTCTATCCTGGGCCCCATCCTCTTTTTACTGTACATACTGCCCCTAGGTTCAATTCCCACTAAACACAATATTCCCTTCCACTGCTACGCCGACGATGTACAGATCTATCTGACTCTCAAAGCAAATGTCAAACACTCACTACAGCAGTTGATGGACTGCTTGATAGAGATAAAATCCTGCCTGAGCAAAAACTTCCTTAACCTCAACGAGAGCAAGACTGAGGTCATCTTTTTTGGTCCCCAACCTCCAGCCTCTCCGGTTGATATTCTGGGCTCTCTCAATGAAAACATCCTCCCCTCTGTCATGAACCTTGGAGTGACCTTCTCTAGAACTTTTAAATTCGACAAGCAGGTCAGCACCGTAGTAAAATCCTGCTTTTAAAAAAAATAAGACTATTGGCCAACACCAAGTCGTATTTATCTTTTAAAGACCTAGAAAGGGTTATTAATGCCTTTGTTACCTCAAGACTGGACAATCGCAACGCTCTGTATATGGGTATGGACCAGGCCTCAATTAAACGCCTGCAGCTAGTCCAAAACGCAGCTGCACGTCTCCTGACTGGCCACAAAAAGCGTGACCACATCACCCCAATTCTGGCCTCACTACACTGGCTTCCAATATATTTCTGTTGTAAATTATTGTCTTTTATTGTGATTATAGTAATGTGTTTTTATTACACGTACAGCACTTTGGCTCAACCAAAAATCGCTTTTAAATGTGCTATATAAATAAAACTTGATTTGATTTGATAAAACACTCTTTTTTTCTGTCAGGCCACTTTGGTTACTCTCTTTCGATTAATTACCTCAGATTGTAAAGAAGTCAATAAGACAATGTTTCTACTTCCCTTGCTATAGATAGATAGAGTCTATCAAATAATAACAACTCAGATTGTTGATAAGTCTAGGACAAAATGATCCTAATTCTCTCATGACTTACAACCTCCGATTGTATAGAAGTTTTAGAGAACATGTTCCCAATTCTATCTTGATTTATTACCTCCATAGAAGTCTATGACAAAGGCTTTATTCTTCTCTTTTGATTTATTACCTTAGATTGTATAGTAGGCTATGAGAAAATGACCCTACTTCTCTTTTCATTTATGACCTAAAATTGTATAGAAGTCTTTCAAGATATATTCCGAATCCTCTCTTGAGAAGTAAACATTTTTCTGACACATTTTAAAATTTTAAACCAGCTTTAGTGTAGCTTAAGACAACAGATTAAGTAGATGAGTTCTGAAAAAGAGGTTTCATTTTTCTGCATTGAAAGTGAGAGGCGTGTGGCGCAGTGGACTAGTGCTTTGGCGTTCGGATCAGGGGTACAGGAGCCGGTTCAAACCCCACTGCAGTCAGCATGTCGTTGTGTCCCTGGGCAAGACATTTCCCCCCAAATTGCTCCTGTGGGGATTGCCCACAGTATTGAGTATGTAAGTTGCTTTGGATAAAAGCATCTAACAAGTGACATGTAATGTAATGTAAAAGAAACCGGTTAATTCCTTTGGAAAACGGGGAGATGAGTTTGAGGGCAATGAAAAAAAAGCTAGTTAACTACAAGGGCACTTGGGACAGAGGTTGAAAAAAATTAAAATAGCTGCATCCACCAAATGGTTCTGATGACACTATAACATTGTGTGGGTTCCTCCATGGCCCATGCTACACCCCTACAGCAAGATTCATGACAATGTTGCCAGTAGTTTTTCTGTAATATTGCTGACAAATAAAAACAATCAAGCTGAGGTAATGTACTTTTATTGTTATGAGTTTTCAGGCTCAAGATATTTCTAAATGACTTACTTTTTTTCAGGTATCAGCGGCGTGTATTAAGGATGCCCTTGTCCCAACATCAGACCTGGAGGTAACCCCACGTTGTCTGTGCTGTTGCCCCCCCCTCTCAGCGGAGATGGTGCACTGGACAACACAGTGGGGGACATGTGTCTGTATCCAAACTCTGCTGGCCTTTGCCTTGGCCAACTGTCCCTCACTTTACCCCAACCCTGTCAACTTCTCCGTTGTGTACACCATGCCGTTCTTCCAGGCTAAGGGTCCTATCCAGAACATAGTCAACAACTCGTATTACCAGGAGGTGTATGTTGCCTCTAAGAATGTGATTGAAGCCGTCAACAGAAGCTTGGAGAAGGCGTGGGAGCTCCACACTGGGCCAGTGGGAAGCCCAGAGTGTCGGGTATGCGATATGTGCGACATTGACAAGGATCCAAACTTCCTGGAGGACACAAACAATCAGGTCTTGCTGTTGGATACCCTCTTTATGTATTTATACTCTTGTGGAAGTTCTCAGTATGGTGTATGCCATTTCCACCAACTTAACTCAAATGGAGAGCCTCCTTCTCTTTCAAAGTGTTTGTTCAGAAAGGTTACAAACCCCGCCGCCAACTGTCCTGACTGTGTGGCTAGTCCTCTCGGTACCAAAGTCACCATGGTGGAAGAGGGTCAGACTGTCTACTTCTTTGTTGCCGCCACAGTCAACGACAGTGTGACGCAGCGTTACGGAAGGAAGTCTATATCGGTGCGTCGACCACTGGCCACAGAAGATGGTTTCTACAAGGATGTGCGTAGCCTGACTGTCCTTCCAGGTTTGCGGAGGACATACAATATTGAATATGTCTACAGCTTTTTCACTCAGGAGTTTGTCTACTTCGTCTCAGTTCAGAGAGAGAGTCCAGATCAGGAATCCTCTCCATTTCAGACTCGTTTGGGCCGACTCCCAAGGAATGAATGGGAGATGAAGAGGTATCGTGAGGTGATCCTGGAGTGTCGGTTTGAACCAAAACGCAGACGGAGGAACGTAGCCAGTGAGCCCTATAAGGATGTGGTTTACAACGTGGTCCAGGCAGCCCATTTTAGCAAGGCAGGCAGGGAGCTGGCAGAGGAGTTAGGGGCGGAGGAGGAGGATGACATCCTCTATGGAGTTTTTGCTGTTACTGATGACAACGGGGTCACGGAGCACGACTCTGCCCTGTGCGCCTTCCCAATGGACAACGTGAACAAAGCGATCGCAGATGGGGTTGATGACTGCTGTAAGTCTGGACCAGAGCAGCTCTCTAGAGGGCTCTGCCATTTCCAGTCCTGTGAGAGCTGTCCACATGAGGTGAGCCCATCAGTCTGCTAACACACACCAATTTCTAGGTGATTTGGTCTACTTTTGATTTTATTCAAAGCTAAGATGGTCATTCTAGAATCATAAAGACTTGCTGCCCAACCACCTATCTCAACCCTGAACAGTCAAGGTCAATGTCTTACCATAAACATCTTGCAAGGGATTTACAAATTGAGGGTAACCATACAGACAAAGCAATGTTGTACTACTGTATACCGACAGGTACAGACAGGTGTAGATCAAAGGTAAATTCAGTTGTGTGCGTGTCTGATTTGTACGGAAGAGGATTAGGGCCACATTATTATTTTTTTTGGCAGGATTTGAAGAAAATGTTTTTTTTTTTGTTCTGAGAAAAAAGTCAGAATTCTGACTTTTTTTTCCTCAGAATTCTGACTTTTTTCTCAGAACAAAAATAAAATATTTTTTTTGGGAGAAAAAAGATTCTGACTTTTTAGAATAGTTCCCAAGCCTTCCAAAACTATTACAGTCCTAGCTGTAGGTGTCTATTGACTGTTGTACATTTTCTAAAAGATTCTGACTTTTTTCTGCCAAAAAAATAAAATAAAATTGTTCTGAGGAAAAAGTCAGAATTCTGAGATTAAAGTCAGAATTCTGAGAAAAAAGTCAGAATTCAGATTTTTTTCTCAGAACAAAAAAAAAAATCATGTGGCCCTAATCCTCTTCCGTAGATTTGTCAAGGGCTGGCATGTGGAGTCTACTGGATAAGATCATCCAATACATCAATCACTTTTATAGAACTCACTCAAAATAGAAAACATCTGAGGTATCCGGGTGAACTGCACTCATTCAAATGGAAAACTATTTGCTGACTCCGGGTGAAAAATCTTGGCAGGTCCTGTTCAAAACCACGTGAGCCATATATTACCTGTTTTCTTAACATGCGTGTACATATTGAAAAGATAGTAAGGTTACTTAGTTTGCTATGACTGGAGGAAATCATTGAAAACTATAATTTGCTTGTGTTGTAATCGACAATGGTTGGTCGAGCGTATCAAATAATGGCCTTGGTGATGGCCTTGATTTCTGTGGCATCAATCTTCCCTAATTTGCAGATACTATTTTACTTTGACAAAAGACAAAAAAAGTCCTTAAATCCTAAAGTTGCCACGGAATTAAAGTCCCCGAAAAGAAAAACATGTGAGAGCAGAAACACTGAACACAAATAACCAAGCATTTCTCAAGCATCACATGTTCACCTGGCTAATAAAAGTGTCGATCAAATGAGTGAAAGGAATGTGAACCATCCTCTCCACATACATAGCAACATTAACCCAAGGCATTTACACATTGGGAGTGTAGAAGAGACTCCATGACAGCTTGTTTGAACATGAAGAAATAAAATATGAAATCCAAATGAATAAAATAACTAAGTAGGAGTTTCTCTGATGTTATGGTTTTGATCAACAATGATAGTGACAAGGATAAAACCCTCAAGTGTGTTTTCCAGATTATTATGTAGAAACATATTTTAGTTTATGAAATACTGTAAACATTGCTCTACACCACTGGCAGGAGCAAGATGACTGTGCTTCTGTAGTTTCAGCCAAACATGAGTAATGAAATGAAACAAAAAGGTTGTACAGTGTCAGCTCCAGCTTTTTGTGGTTATTGTGTCAAATGATAAGACTCTCATATACCTGTGTGTTAGAGAACTATGACACTTAAGGCAGAAGGCTGCTAGCTTAGCTTAGCATAAAGACTGGAGACAAGGGAAACAGCTATGCTAGCTCTGTGCAAAAATACAAACAAATATCTGCCATGTTTTCAACACATCTCACACATTTTTTATTTTATTTAATCCAAACAAAAACAGAGGTGTTAAAAATACAATTTGTGGTTTAAGGGTGGTGTCTTGTTCATGAAGTTGCCACACAACCTGCAAAGACTGACTTTAAAAAATCAAGACATAACATGATGATAATTAGTAGTGTTGGTATGTCGAATATTTTTGCTTGGGATAGAGCCAGGATAACTGTTTCACCCTGCTTTCTGCCTATGTGCTAAGCTAAGCTAGCTGCCTGCTAGCACTAGCTTCATATTTACCAAGCGGACATGACAGATATGAATGTATTCAACAAACTCTTTGCCAAAACACCAAACCACATATTTCCCCAAAAGTTAAACAGTAACAACACATTTTGTTTAATTGCAGTCATGAACTGACATGAAAGCTTTGCGATCATCCGATACAAAAGGTGTGAGGTAATCCAAACGTGTATTACTCCTCTTTGACCTGACTTGATCCACATCCTCTTCATCAGGCGTTATATCTTTCAGCAAGCTGTCCGAACAAAGTGAAACACAAACAATGGCATCAGATATTATTAATATGTCGGGTAGTAATAGATGTATTTATTTTCTTCTCAGAGTGTACCAGATTGCGTAGTTTAAATGTTAGTATTTCTCCAGACCCCCTTCTGGGGTTAGGTTTTCAGCATTTCAAATTGTTCACATGTGGCGGATTTGATTACAAGACAAGTGTGCCTCTTTATGTTATAGAGTTCAGCTTTGATTCTAGAAACTTGATGACCATCATCAGATTAAACCTTTTTTAAAAGCATACTTTAGTCCTGTGAAAGGATATAAGGGATATATGCACTGTACTTCACTTGAATTCATATTGTATGCTGAAAAGCGTATATATTACATTTTTGTTGAATAGATTTGAGCGGTTCAAAATGTCTGGTCACGATTTATTGACAAAGGAAAAAAGTGGGTCCCGAGGCCTGACCAGTTGAGAACCACTGCATTAGAGCGTAAAAGCTGTAACTATAAGTATCTGAAATAAATATGTGTACTGAAACAAATTGTTTTCTTATGCGCAATTACTTCACACTGTCTTTGTCTTTTTCGTCCTGCATTTATTGAGCCCCCCTCAGAGAATAACTGGCCCCCGCCTGGCCCCCCTAGTCAAATTGGTCTAGAACCGCCACTGATCAGCATTCAGTGAGCACTCGCTGTTAAATCCAAGAAAACATGGATTCAAATGGCTTTTTGGATGAACAAGTATGGAAAGTGTCAGCCTACACACTGGTGGAATGAACATTAGACAGGGGTCAGTGGGATTGAGGGTTGTTGACATTGTATGACTTGTTTTCCGCATCAGTTGAGTGAATTTCTCAGGTCAGACAGTAAGAGCAAAACATTTTTTTTTAAATTGTCTTAAAAAGTGTGCCTCATTCCTTCCTGTTGTATCAGTTAACTGGCATGGTGTGAGTGTATTCAATGTCCTTTTAAGGCAACAGTTTGAATTTAGGTATACAATTTAGACTCTGCATTGGTTACTTGTGTCATTTCTCGTGGGAAAACTGCTTTCTTTTTTCCAGATGCTATACATATTTCTCATAATGTTATTTCTTATATTATCTACATGGTGGCTAGGAGTGGGAGTTTGTGGTACCACTTTGTATTCCCTAATAACTAAAAATACTTTCTTGTCAGTTTGAGAATTAACATGTAGTGACATTCCCAGAACTGAGTTGCAGCTTGAGATGTTGTCTGTTGTTCAAGGTTAAGGCAGGCTGACAAAATATCACTGTTTTTTTTAACTGAAGGATTCATAGTGGATGGAAATCTTGAAAAACAAACATTTTAATGGAGTTGTTCTCTTTTGTATTTGCCTTCAAAAGAACATTTTCCACCTGACTAGTGAACTTTTTTGTCTTGCGGTTTCTTCTGTTTTGCTGCTTTTGGCTGCTGGTCTGAGTTTTGAGTAACTTCCTGCCAGCGGGATTGTCCAAAAATCTGAAATCCTGGTTCTTCCATTTCTCAGCCGATCAAAGCAGCTTTTTGTGCCAACAACGTCATCTTGTGCCTCACAAATACTATGCTTTAGTTTTACGCTCCTCTTGTGTTTGGAGGTGAATGACTTCAGTCAAAAGCAATGCTGTTTGTGCTTTAACCCTCGGCTTACATCACGAGACAGGGGAGGATTCATGTCCTCCAACATTTATTTTTGCATTCACTTAATTCGAAAGATGCTTATTTCCCAGTTTCCTGTTTCCCTTTTAGATGCCAGGAAAACAATTAGAAAGTTTTTTTAATATTTTGTCCTGAGGCTAATACCCAGTGTTTACAGACTCCCTTTCAATCAAAACAGTGATCCGCCCTGCTCTGCATTTATAGCCACCAGGCAATCTTTCTGTCAGTAATTCCGCACATAATCATTTATCAAGGCCTCTTAAATTATGAAATGATGTTATCGTGGCAGATTTACCTTGTGCTTCTGATGTGCCAGGGACATTATTTATCATGATTAACCTGGTGACCAGTGCAGCTGATACCACGTCCGTACAAGCTAACAGCTGGGCCTCTCTTACTACAGCGATACATTTAAAAAAACTCAAATGTGATCTTCTGAGAAATTACATTTTTGCACACATAATCTGAGCTGTCAATATCCAGGTCAAATTATTAGCTTGTTCCAACAGGCCCATCTCCATGACAACTGAGCATGGGTGGCAGGCTTAGGCCATTTAAGCGACATTGGGGAACAATAAAATAAAGTGCTCCAGCTGCATGTGGTTGGACACCAGCCAAAGAATGTTTTCTAGCGAGCAGGGCAGCTTATATGGCACTGCGTTAATGAAAGGCACCATAGAGGGCCTTTTTCCCCTTCTCTACCTTATGGGCATCTAAGAGGGCAGCTTTGTTGTGTTTTTGTTGAACAAGGGGGCCCCAGTGATATGTATTGCAGTTGAAAGCTTTGGAAATAAGGAGCCTTGCATTGGGAATTTTTTTTCCTTGGCTTAACATTGAGTTCTGATTGTTTTGTTTTCGAACTGATTTCAAGTTAATAATACATTGTAATGCTTAATATGAATTATAATTTGAATTTAAACATGGCTAAATCTGAAATCAAGTGAGGTCAGACCTCTTCTTTTTGCTTTTTTTGTTTTCTAAAAGCCAGCGGTCTGGTGTAGACCTTAGTGTCAAATCTTTGTTTGTTCTCTCTCAGAAAAACAGTGCAAAAACGATTTTTCAGTCCAAAGATATTCATTTTTATATTATATAAAACAGAAAATAAGGAATTGGCCTTAAATTAGAAGCTGTTTACAACATTGTCTGCCATTTAATGAACTACTCCACTTTACAAAGCTCAGTGTTTCCCATTCATTGATATCGTCCGCCACAAATGGATCTCATATTTTTTATTTATTTTGGTGGTCTAATGGATAGTGAAGTGGGCTGATGATCGGAAGGTCGCAAGTTTAAATCCCGGCTGGAACACCACTACTAGTGTGTCCTTGAGTAAGGCACACATGTATTTTCTTATTTGAGGGGGTGGATGCGTGGGCCATCCGAATAGGTTAAGGGGCCCTTGGCTTTTCTTGCCGGGGTGGGGGGCGGGGTGCGGTGCGGTGCCCCCACAAAT